AGGGCAGTGGTGGACCAATGCGCCTCTGTGTGGGCTGCCTGCACTTCAATATCACCGAGGACATGCTCCGGGGGATCTTTGAGCCCTTTGGCAAAGTGAGTAGAAAGTGAGGGAAACCTCTGAAAGGAATTGGAAAAAGTAGGGAGGGTGAGGGTTCCTCTTCGTTTTCCCTGACCATGATTAACCCACTGAATACATTGTAAGGGGCATATGGGTCCATGCTGGGAATTTTAGGCTCCACCTCTATATTGGGACTGCTCACTAGACAAATGAGTCAGGCATCATGAAATCAAATAATGGGGGTCAGATTAAGTAAAATTAGAAGAGGTGTTTTGGAAAGAGATGGCCTTTGTCTCTTTAAAATTTGGAGAGATATAATTGGTGGCTAGAAAGTTGGATGTATTTAGAACAATCTGGGTAGGAAAGAGCAAAGGTGTGAGTTAGCCAAAAGATTATCGATAATTTTTTCCTGTTCTGCAGATTGATAATATTGTCCTGATGAAGGATTCAGATACAGGCCGCTCTAAAGGTTATGGTTTCATTACGGTGAGTCTCTGGTCTTTAACCTGTTCATTTTAATTTGGGTTTGTCCACTTGTCTGATTTTGCAGCTTAGCCTTATCCTCCTTTATGAACTATCTAAATGACCCATAAACCCTGATGCCTGGAGCTCGGACTAGCCCTCTGCCCCTTGAGATGAGTGCATTGCTTGAAATCTTGGCTTTGTTCCTACACTGTGTCAGTGGCCCTGGGATATCCTTGCACTTTGGGTAATAGTAATGGTTCTAGGCTGCAGCTAAAAGGCCTGAAGGAGGTTAGCTCTGGGCTTTTATAGACATGCGTCAATGAATTGGTGTAGTTTCGTGATGGGTGGGAATAGGAAATTACATACTTCCCTCTGATGCTACCCTGTTTGAAGGAGTTTTTCCACTGGGAAGTATCTTTATATTTAAATACTACTATAGGGAGAATAGTGAGGCCACCTAATAGTGGGAAAGTCTCACTTTTTCCTGACATCCCAACAAAATTGTTTCCAAGTCTCATGACTGGTTCTTCCAGCCCCATGTGACTCCAGGCTAAGCACTGGCTGCCAGCCACAAAGTTTGATAGAAGCTGATATTTTCTGGGCTCATTCCAGGTACCATACACCCCCACAGTTGCCTGCAGGGCAGAGGGGAGGTAGGCTGTATTCAACCATGGCAATTGCTCACCTCAGAAGTATCCAGTAAAGGCAGGCCACCTACACCACCTGCCTAGGAATTGTCAGTACCGCGTGCCAGGCCCTAGGGCAGGTAATACCAGAGTAAACAAAGCCAGCTGTGGTGTTCCTGGTAGCAAGTACCTTTGCTAGCTCCCTTGTGACTCAGATGCAGAAAGGCTTTGTGGCCTTTTGGCCCTTGTATTGCTTCCCTTTAGGTCAACACCATTGACACTTAAACAGCAGACTGGGAATCCTCTTTATGCCAGGCTGCTGCTGGTGCCACTGATGATAGGGACCAAAGGGTAGAGGCCCTCTGGTCAGCAGGCCACTGAGTCAGCAGCACTGCAGTGGGGGCGGGGTTGGAGGTGGGGGTACGGTGCGGTGCAGTCTTCCTCTCAACACCAGGATGTGTCCCTTCCTAAGGCTGGGCTCTGGAGGTCCAGATTCCTGTTCTTAACTGAGAACTGAAACTTACTGGTCCTAAGGGCTAAAATAAAGACCAGGAGCCGTGGCTCTCAGCCTATCTCATTTCCATTTTATATGCCCGCTTGTGAAACAGCCTGTCAGGCTAGGCTCTCTACAGCAAAAACTTTTTGCATTGTTAGGTTTTTAGTGGAGCTGGAGGATTGAAAAGTGATTGCTATTGAATTGGCTGGGAAAGGTCCTTTTCAGAGAATAATTTTAGGGGGTCTTAGGTCACATTCCATGGAAAAGAAAAGTTTGTGCCGCAGTGAACATGCAATTTTCCTGGGATAGTAGGACTAGGAGTGTTAGGAGGGTTTTGAGAGCATGTCTGTGGCCAAGAGGTGATTGATATGGCCTGGGTTTCTTATAGTTCTCTGACTCTGAGTGCGCCCGGCGGGCCTTGGAACAGTTGAATGGCTTTGAGCTTGCTGGTCGACCTATGAGGGTTGGCCATGTGACTGAGCGACTGGATGGTGGCACAGACATTACTTTCCCTGATGGAGACCAGGAGCTGGATCTGGGATCAGCAGGTGGACGTTTGCAGCTCATGGCCAAATTGGCAGAAGGTAGAGTTTCTCTGCGGAGTGAAGAACATGGGGTTGAATTGTAGATCAAGCGTTGGGACTTAACCCCGCTGGTTTTTTCCCTTTTAGGCTCTGGAATCCAGCTGCCAACCACAGCTACTGCTGCTGCCGCTGCCGCCCAGGCTGCTGCTGCCTTGCAGCTGAATGGAGCAGTCCCCTTGGGGGCCTTGAACCCAGCAGCCCTGACTGGTAGACTTGGATTTGGGAAGGGGAGAGAATGGTTGGGGCCTGGAAAGAAGGAATGCTCTGTGCTCACTAACTTTGCCTCTCTCTGTTCCAGCTCTGAGTCCAGCCCTGAACCTCGCCTCTCAGGCACTTGCCTCCCAGTGCTTCCAGCTTTCCAGCCTCTTTACCCCGCAGACCCTGTGAATCTCGGGACCTAGCTCATTTTAGTCTCTAGTTATTTTCCTTCTTTTGGTTTTTATTTACCTCTTCTTGCTCCAGGTAAATCAGTGGCACAATACACTATCTCCCTGTGCCTCTGGGTCCTTCCACTCCCTTCTCCACATTTACCCTTCTACGGCCCCTTTACTCCATTTTGTGGACCAAGCCATCCTGAGGGTGCGGACATTGACTTTGGGGAAATTGGGGCCACCCTTAGACACCAAGAAGAGCTTCTGCCTATGGCCCCACTGGGAATGGACTCTGCTGACCAACCGCTAGTCAAAGCGAACAGAAGTATTGAACACCTGTTTCTCCTTGTATATCGTCTCCTGGGATGATCTTCATTGCCTTTCCAACCACCTCTTAGTGATTCCTCAATTCGTCCTCTGTTGGGAAGGCCATAGGGCATTAACTGAAGGAACTAACTTCTCTCCTTTTCCTATACGTTTACCCTACAATTTTGTCAAGGAAAACACTTAAGCCCTCTGGTTCAAGAGGACTTTGGAGTTGTGAGGGTGAACCTTGAAGGTGCTGGCTTGCTGCTGCAAGGGCCCTGGAAGATAGCATGGACATGTATGTGCATTGTGAAGCCTGCCTTTCACCTCAGGCTGGGGCCGGAACTACTGTGGGGCAGCCTTTTGCTGGGAGCTGGGAGAATGATCAATCCTGCCAGGCGTTTTGGATGTCTTAGGGGCATTCAGGAGTTCAGCGAGAGATGGAGTGTACCTTTCCGGTATCTTTCATCTTCCTTTGTATAGTTAGTTGTCCTTCCTCCCTGGTCCTTGCTTTTGTCCAGGGAGAGAGGATGATGGGGAGGCTGCTACTCTCCACCATTTGCCATGTGCCTCTACTGTGGGCTCAACCGCAGCTGTTAAAGCTGCTCCTGCCCCCTACCTGGGCACATGTGAGCCCTTCTCACTGGATTTTATACCCTTGTGTCTGTGTACATAAATATGTATATATATAAACTTTGTACAAAAGGCAAGCCCTGCTGTTGTGGCGGCGGCTGCCCATATGTGTGTGGTCTCCGTTGTGTCTGATGTTAACTTCTCATGAGCCAAAACCATGAATGGTTCTAGGAATATAAAACATTTGTAATGCCATTGCGTTTTCTTTTAACTTTATCTAACCTTCTTTATAAAGACAAATGGACAAAAGGCACATACCTGGGCGAAGTTCTCCATTTGTTATCTGCATTATACTCTCGGCCCTGATCTTCTCTGTCTGTGTTCATCTTACCTGTCTCCAAACCTCCCTGTCCACTGGACAGGCTTCCTGGTTCTGTCTCTGTGCCTACGGACAGATCTTGTCATTCCACCAGATGGCAGTGTGACAGTACCACATTCTGCACCTTCCTCTAGGGGTGTTTCATGATCTTGAGGAACTTAAGTACCAAAGAAGCCTCCCAAGCTCACCATTCTTAGCATTGGCCTCCATGTACGACATTTACCCCTCTTGTAGTAGAAACCCCAGTTCACTATCCAAAGGGGTTTGGGTATCATATATCAGGGCTCCCCAGGCCTTAAGTTTGCTGCTGTTCCAGTTACCTCAACTCTTGCTTTCTATACAGCGCTGCCTGGGACCATTGAGTTCCAGGGAACTGAGTATTCCAGGAATGGCCCTGCCAAAGGGGAGGCACACCTTCCTCTGCCTGCTTTGTAAGGCTTATAACAAGGGACCGTGCCAGAACCTGCCTCACCAGCTAGGAATCTGCCAAGAGGAGGAGGTCTGAGGTTCAGGGGCAGAGCTCTGTGGGGCTCCTCCATTCTTTACTGGTCTCTATGGCAACAAAATGTTAAGACTTTATTGTCATGCTAAAAATATGGATAATTGCTGTTAGGTTTTAATTTGTCAGCTCTCAGACTTGTAAAGCACAGTGATGGGTTTTTGGCGATGTTAGCTTCTGGGGTTGCTTTTAACACTGAAATACTAAGTACTTGAAGGCTGTTTGGCATAAAAGGCCACTGGGACACAACTAGCTCTTGATTCTTCTAGGCTTCTGCAGTCTCACTTGCTACTGTTTCCTTTGCTGCCACCCCCACCCCTTCCATATCCTAGTTTGATCTCAACCTGGGGGGAGGGAAGGAGAATGCATTATTTTTAGGAGCAGCTGGCTATGCCCCAGTGCCCCTATAGGTATTGATTTGGCTGCTAATGCATCTGGAGAAGGACAGTGTGGATTATATTTGTTAGTCATCCTGAAACTATGGACCAGGCCTCCTCAGGGCAGTCTTGAATTCCTCCAAACTATAAATACCCACAGGCCTTGTCTCCCTGCCCTCTTCAATGGGCCGCCATCTCTGCTTGGGCTCCTTATGTTCCCATACGTACCTACTTTGGGCTTCCTGCACTGTGGTTCCTTCCGCCTCAGTTCTTCTTTGTCCCTGGTCTTAGCTCCTCATACATTGTCTTGCTGGAAGAGAGACAATGTGGAAGTGAAAAAATACCTAAGACAGTTTCTCTAGCCTTAACCCATGTACCGTGACTCTGTAGCCAGTGTCAGAGTATGACTCAGTGCCACCTTGTTACTCATCCCTCTGTTGGGGGTGGTTGGCATGAAAGGGAGCAGTAAAGAGCCTCTGGGCTCAGCCTAAAGTAAAAGAAACTTCCCTCAAACTCCTGCCTGAGCATGGTAGCGAGGGCTGGGGTAGAGATGAGACTGACCCAGACCTTTCCCAGCATACTTAGGATTTCTCCACCAGTCCTCAATTCTAAATGAGATTTTCACCTGCCTTGGCATATAGCCTATGCTTCTGTCTTCTCTAAAGCAGTGGCATTTCCTCCCTGTTCTTTAAATTACTGTGTTCTTGACATTGGGATTCAGGAAGTAATATTTGAACAGTTAGAAGAATCTATGCTGGCCATCCTGGAACCATGGCCCAGTTTGTCCATCACCTCGTAGTGAAGGCCCCGGCTCTGGTAAACGCTGCTGTGACTTAAAGCCTTGAATGGCCACATTTTGGCACTATGCCCAGGTTGAGCTGGTTCCTCCAACCCCTGCTGAGATCCCTACAGCTATTCAGAGTTTGAAAAAAATAGTCAATACTGCTCAAACTGGTAGCTTCAAACAGCTCATAGTGAAGGAAGCTCTGCTTATTGGTTTGGTGGCCGCTGAGGTGTGGATGTGGTTTTATGTTGGTGAGATCATAGGCAAGCGTGGCGTCGTTCGCTCGCTATATTTGAAGACCAATCTTTTTTTTAGCTGAGCCATCCTGCCACCTGTTGGCAGCTCAGCTCGGGCTGGGAATCGAACTGCTGTTGCTCAGAGCTCACACTCTTGAGCGAGCTCTTAACCAACTGAACCACTCGGCCGGCCCTCAAGACCAATCTTTAACTTCTGTTTCTTTTGGGTTTATTATTTGAATGTTCTTGGACCATGTATGATCATACTGGTATTTGAATAAGTCAAAATCAGTATTTTCTCTATTAAAAAAAAAAGTATCCTGGCTCCAAAAAGTAAGCTGGTAGGAGGTGGTACACTTTTATGCAGGATTTGTTGTGGGGATGGCACTGTCCTAATCACTTTATATGTATTGAATCATTTAGTCCTCCAGTGACCCTCTGAGGTAGATTCTTTTTTATTATCTTTACTTTGTAAATGAAACTGACACCCAAAGAGGTGAAATAACTTGCCCCAGATTACAGTTAGCAAGTTTGGGATTCCCATCCAGGCAGTCTAGCTTCAGGTCCCTTGATCTCAAGCTTAACCTGCCTCTCAACACTATTGTGGAAGCCAAGGCCTTGGAGTCATGGGGAAGTGTCATTTTTTTCTGTCTCTGTACTCAGTATATTCAGAATTTTTCCGCTTTTCATGTCTGCTCATCTTGTTCCCTCTTCCTGCCCCTCTTCTGCTGGTCAAAATCTAGCCCTTTAAGACTGAATGAAGCTTTCCTAGTTGACTTTCCTTTTCAGTATTCTTTGTCCTATTATAGGTCTTAGTCTGCCTTTATTTACAGTTCTTTGTAAATTCTATTAGTAGGTAGTTATAGCCTGATGAGGTCAGTCATAGATGTGTCTTTTTCATTATTGCTTTGCTTTGCACATATTGTGTGTTGAATTAATTCCCTTTCTGTTCAAGTCGAAGCCAGGCTTTCCAAAGGCTGTCCTAGCCTGCCTTCCCTGGCAGCTTCATCCATTCCACCCTCACCTTTAAGAGAGGTGACAGCTTTACTCTTTTTAGTGTTACCATGGTAGCCTGTGATGCTTTCTGTCTAAAATGCTGCTTGCCATTCACCAGAGTGATGTTTCCATGGCAACCAGGTGAAGTCAGTAGTCATGAGCTGGATGCAGGGAAAGAATTCTGGTCTGAGAAGCTGTGTGTGTCTGAATCTTCTGGCTTCAAACATCCTTCTCCTCCCTCCTAACATTTGCACTCTATATCCAGAACTGATTTGTTCTCAAAGTGTGCTCTCGGTTGAGAGATCTCTGTGTGAGGTGAAGCAGACCAGCCAACTTAGATCATGTGGGAAGGTGGAGGCAAGGAAAGAGCTGATCAAAGATCACTTTAAAAAGTTGGATGAGTTCTGTTAGCTGTCCCAGATGATCTGCTCTCAAGAGCCCTTAAGAAGTTGGCTGGAGTTACTGGAGAGCCATTAAGCAGCAGTTATTTTTGAGGGCAATGGGTAGATGGATGAGGTGCCTGAAGACTGGAAAGAGGCCAGTGAGTGCTGAATCACAGTGGAGGAAACAATGACCTTGGAAATCAGAGACTTGTCAAACTCTTTGTCAGTGTTCCAGAAAGGATGGGAGCTTCAATTAGCTTTCAAGCATCATGAAGCCTACTTGTTTACATGAGTGATGCTGAGAATTAGCCTCCTTCTCCCAATTCCTGGGCCCATCCAAGCCAGGGGACCTCAACCCTGTAGCAGAATGGTCACACTTGGGAGCAACACTGCATGATTCAGATATCTCTTCTGTCTCAAACTAGCTGAGTAAGCTTGGGTGTTACTCCGCTTCTCTAACTCAGACTCCTGATCTGCAAAAAGGAAATGATAAGAATAGTACCTTATCTCAGGGATGTGAGGATTAAATGATCCCTGTAGAGGGCTTAGAACTTGCAGCTTGTCATTACTACTGCCGTCATTATTCCCATTTCTCTGGATGCCTACACACTTGACTTTCTACCTGACCTCATTCTCCTCCCCAGCTTCAGAGAATGCCCAAGATTTAGAGGGGGAGAACTGAGGGTGGGACAATGATAAAAATAAACCTTAATTGTTCCTGGCCTGAAGTCCCAGGCTCACAAGGTCCTGGGTCATATACAGCCAGCCTAGTTTTGAGGAAAACAAATCCTACTGCCCAATCTCTTTTTATGCCTGAAACTGTATAATCAGATTACAAGCAGATGGCTTTGAATATCAAGGTGAGTCCCCAGGTAACTTCAGGATATCTAGTGCCCTTTGCTTTTTCTGGCTGGGGAAAATCCTAGAGCACACTGTTAGAGCCCTTTGCTTAGTGTCCCTCCTAACCTCCCCCAAGCATTCCTATAGCACCTGCCGTTGTTGGTCTCCAGAACCTAGCCCTACTTCAGCAATTTCCTTTCAGAATAAGTATTTTAAATCATCACAGGTTTTCTGCCTTATGACAAGTTATAATTTGAACAAAAAAAAAAAAAAAGGAAAACTGCGTATAATACCATCACTTAGGCTTCAGTTGCCTATCTTGCCCCCCCCAATCCTCCGCAAAAAACAAACCCAATAATGGGTCACCTGTGAGTCCTGTGGGAGGGCATGTTGGACCTTGCAGACCACAATTTAAATTTGTATTTCGAGTGATGCTGTGTTTTGAGAGGTTAGCAAGCTGCCTGAGCATCTGAATAAGGGACCAGGACACAGTTTGCAAAGAAACATTACTTCCACTACTCATATAATGCTTGACAAATTACAAAGATATTTGCATTTTATTTAGTTCTCGTAACTATCCTGAAGGTGGTTAGCTTCATTGTATAGTTGGGAGAACTGAGGTTCAGAAAGGCAGAGAGTTTAAGATTGACTTTTCTCCATAGACCTCCACCCAGGAAGTAGTGGGCCTGAGTGCTAACGAAAACGCCTACAAGGCCCCATTGAATTTGTATTCCTATCTTGAGTTTACAAGTCCACCAAGCTGTGGAGGCATGACATCAAGATTCAAATAGACAAAAAGGGACCTTGAGCCACTAGGATGATACAAGGCTAAGAAGCGGGATGCTCTTGTCTGGTTTTGGGGCCCTTTGACAACTTGGCAGCACCATCCACCCAAATGTTGCTGCCTTCTTACAGGAAAGGGCTTTATCTCATCATGGGGCGGGCTGCCCACTATTTCTCCTGTGCATTTGCTCATGTAGTTTCCTTCTTCCACCTATCTACAGTGTACACGTATACTTGAAGCTCTGGTTCCTAAAATGTGTCTTCTAAATTTTGTTTCTTCCCTTCTTAGAAATTTTTTTCATTCTTAGAAATTTTTAAGCATGTGATGTCACCTCCAGTTAGATAGTCAGAATGTGGTACAGTTTGCTGCTGTTTTGGCCATGGTAATGCTGTCACCACCTTTTCCCATCTCTCCAGGTCAATTGTAAGCTACGTGAGGGCAGGGATAATGTTTTATCTGTATAAGTATTTGTTTTCCTCAGCACAGTGACTGGCAAATTGCAGTACGTGAGGAAAACATGCATTTGTGGGTGAAAGATAAAATTGTCCAGAAAAAATTTACTTAGACTGATGTGGTTTGGAACTATGTTAAATTAATACAAAGAGGTACATATGAGTGGGCTTTCTGGGAATGAGGGTTGAACCCAGGAGACATGAAATTGTCCTTCCATGACTTGGGGAGTCTTTCAGAGTTGAGAGCCCCTGCTCCAGTCTCTGTAGAGAAGGTTAGATGCAGCCGGGCCTAGTGGCCTAACTGTAAGCAGAGGCCCTGAGCAAAGGAATACCTTCCAAGATATGGGGCTGGCATCACCTCTCGCCCCTCGGGAGAGGGCACAATCTATGCTCTTGGCCAATGAGGAGGCCTTGTGAGCCAGGGGGAGTGGAGGTATTGGGCTGGCATGGGTTGGGCTGGTAAGAGCACAAACCCCAAGATAAAAGTGCAGTGATTGGGCCAGCCGAGTGGTGCGATGGTTAAGAACTGGCTTGGGATGCCAGAGGGCCCCGGTTCAGATCCCACTTATGAGGGCCAGTGACACTGCCCTCTACAGCTAAAATGCTGAACAACAGCTCAACCTGGAGCTGGGCTAATATGGGTCTCCGGCGACGTCGTAGGCTGTAGCCCCTGTGGCAGTGGGTTGCCATGGGCTACCATGTGTAGCCAGCAGCCAGCGTGAGCGGGCAGCATCTGCAGTGAGCGGCCATCCAGAAGCCGGCGACTGATTTGCCTCGCCCAGGAAGAGCGCAATGATGGTGCCAACTTGGGCTAGTGAAGCAACGTCCTCCACAACTAGACTGAAGAACAAAAGGACAGCAACTTGTCTGTTCCTCTTCCCCCAATTCCCCAGCACTGTTCCCATCCCCCCAATTCCCCAATAAAAATCTTAAAAAAAAAAGAAGTGCAGTGATTAAGAGGAACACAAGGGCAAAGGAGACCTTACCTGGCACATGCAGCACAGGCCCCAGGGCCCTTTGCTGTCTCCCACACCAGCCCATCTCAGTGGCCTGGCTGTACTTTGCCTTGATCAGAGGGAGGGAGAAAAATGGCCTGGCTCTCAGAGAAGACCCCATTTTCCCCAAGTCTGGTGGGAGCCTGGCTTCAGTTTCCTTCTGTTCTGAGCTCTTCCCTGTAGGCGTCTGGAGGGAACACACAGATGGGTCGGCTGATGGGACTGACTGAGTTGGGGGGAGGGAGGCCTATGGTGTGTGTGGCTCCTCTCATGGGGGAGGTCCTGCCATCATCTTCAGACTTCTGCCACATGAAAGGCACTGGGCCTTCTTGCTCCTCACCCTCCTCTCTTGCCACTTTGACCATTGGTGGTACTCTTCCTCTAAACAAGCCCTCTTCCCTTGGCAGTAGCCTCTACTTGCTCAGTCCTAGTTCTTCCACTGCCTCTGTGACAGCTACATCTCCACCTTCTTCACTTGTCTCTCCTCAGAACTGTCTTTGGTCCCGCCTCTTTCTCTGGAACACTAAGGCTTTATTTTGTTTAAAATTATTTTATTTAGTTTTCGAACAGGTAAGATATGCCATAAAGAAGTAGAAAAGGGGTGTACAATGAAAAGTGAACCTCCCACACTTGTCCTTCACCCACCCAGCTCCCCTTCCCAGCAACCATCAGTACCAACCTGGTCTATAATTTGTTGGGTCACAGACTCCTTTGGAAATCTGATAAAATTCGTGACCTTTATTCTCAGGCAAATGCATGGCTGCACAAACACATCAGATTGTACCATTTCACAAGAATGACAAACCCCTCCTAAAGCCCGTGTGTGGTTTGAGGCTAAGAATCCCAGCCTGTATTGTGCCCTCTCCCTTAGTCTCTCCCTTAGTATAATTTGTGGGTCCCTGTACAAAATAAAAATGCAGGATTCCTTGTTCCAAGAGTTTCAAGACAGAGCATTAAGCATAGGGCCCTGTGTAACTGCACAGTCCACACATCGATAAAGCCAGTCCTGTATCTCACCCTTTCCTCTAGCTCTGCTACTTCCACCTGTATAGCGATTATTCTCATATCTCTGTCTCTTGCCCCAACTTGTTCTGAATTTCAGACCCAGCTGTCCAGGGACCTGCTGAAACTCTTCATGTGGATGTTCTCCCATCTCAAACTCAGAATCTCTAACGTGGAACCATTTACCTTCTTCCACTCTCTGCACCCCCCCTTAATTCCCACAAGGTGTAACTCCTTCTCTTTAGACCCAGCCACTCAGTTGCCAAATCCCATCGAGTCTGACTCCCAAACCCATGCTGTCTCTCCTTTCCCACTGCCATCTTTCTCTGGATGGTCCTTCATTGCCCTCCATACGTATTATTGTGATTGGCTCCTCAGGACTCGCCTCCTGCACACCCCTCCCAGCCTCCTCTTCCCAAAGGACCACCCTGACCATGTCATTTCCCAAGCAAAGACCTTCAGTGACTCTCACTGCCTACAGAGTTGGACACTAATTCCTTTGACAGTATTTAAGGTTCTTTGCAGTAGGGCTTCAAACCTTCTTTTCCACACTTGTCTCTTATCCCTCCTCTTCATGTCCCCGAGGTTTCAACCCAACTGTAGAACCATCTGGTCTCTTAATGGGCCCAGTGTGTTTTCCTGTATTTTAAGTTTTGAACTGCCTCTGTTCATGATCTCCAAAGATTAGAACTGGCTTGCTCCACTATAGCCATGTAATTTCTCTGGCCCTTTCACCACAGCTACTGCCAATGTTCCTGCTCATTGTGTCACTTGCATTTCTTCTACTGTCCCTCTTCCTCTTCCCCCCAATCCTTACTGGAAGGGGAACCACAGATGCAAAGGTGGATAAAATCACCATTAAGTATCAAGCAGACATAAATGGAATCCCAGCTCTGCTTGCTTATTGACCTCTCAGACAAGTTACTTAAACTTTGTTTCTTCCAGAGTAAAAAAAAAAAAGTATTAACACATTATGTAGTCATTAAAGAATTAACAGATAAAGTGAATAAAGCCTTAAGGGTAGTGTCACTGTTCATATTATCTCATAACCATCCATGCTGGGCTGGTCTCCCTTGGCTCCTCCTTAGGTACAAGGACTCAGGAGACATCTCATCTCTTTTTCCATCAGGTTCTGGGAACCTGAGTGGGGTGAGGTGGAGGCCTGGCCCTTGAGTGCTCAGGTAACTGTATTGTATGTCTAAGTGTGAGGGGAGCTGATGCCTCTGTTCCCTTTGTTCAAATTCGTGGCTCAGGCAGCTGCAGGCGTGGGAGTCACTAGGGAAGGCACTGACAGCTTCGGTTCTCACACGGGCTTCACAGGTGACAGCTGGGGCGGTGGGGCCCTATCAAGGGAAGTGCAGGCTGACCCCATCATGCCCCAGCTGATGGGCCTTCCTGGTGGATGTGGTCTTCAACTTGAACCAGCCCAAGTCATAGCTGAGTATGGCGCCTGGAACTAAATGTAGCCTCTAGCCTGCTCCTTGCAGGATAAGGTAGGGTAAGATGGGGCTTAGAGTCTGGGGACTTGGTACCAGTGTCACTAAGTTACTAAATTACTTCTAGCAGGTCCCTGCTCCTGCCCAGGCCTGTTTTTTCATCTGCAAAGGCAGGAGTTGGACCCAATTATCTCTTAGGGCCTGTGGCTGCGGTCACAGACTACACCAGGACTAAATCAGTTCTGGAGCCTCCCTAGAAATTTAAGTTCCTTATTCCTCTGAGCCAGAGTTTTCTTGTCTGTAACAGAGTTTCCTACATCTATCCCTTCCGTGGGGGTGTTGAGAACAGAGAATCAAAGTGAATAAGTGAAGTAGAAAATTCTTTATTGAAAAGGGAAGGGTGGCCCCTTGCTAGTGCCTCCTGGGTCCTGGCCAAAGGAGGGTTACCACCCGCTCAGCTCCTCACACTGGCATCTGAAGGCAAAAGTCTGTCCACACTTTACCTTTAATAGCCTTAAAGGGAAAGTGCGATGGTGTAACGATAAATCATAGAATCAATTATCAAAAATTGCACTTCCAGTGAATTTAAGAACTTCTTAAAGGCAAAGTGGACAGTGCAGCAGATAAGAGCCAGAACGTTTTAGGAAGTCTCCAAGAAGGGTCTCTGTGTCTTTACCTTTAAGACTCTCTTAAAGGTGAGGCATATTCGCGCAGAGTACAAAGGTGGAAAACCCTGTAAAGGCGTCTACAAAGCCCTTTTCCAGTTCTCATTTTTTAGAATCTCTTTACAGCAGAGGTGGTCAAACGCGAAGTAATTAAAAACAAAATACCTTGCAGAACGATTTTCCTTCCACCTTGCTGGAACCCGCCCCGCCCACGGGCCGCAGCACGCCCACCCAGGGTCTGCATCTTGCCTCCTAGGCGCCCTATGGTCGGGGTTTATCCAGAGAACGCGGGTGTGGGGTGACCGCCGTGGTCACAAAAGGGCGTCCGGGGAGTTTTTGGTTTCCTAGACGGTCTTCACGAAGGAAGCCGGACGGGGATGGGGCGGGGCGGGGCTAGGGGGCGAGCGGAGAGAGTGGTGATTGGTGACCATGGCGACCGCGGTGACCATGGCGACGGTGGCTCAGAGCACAGAGAGGTCATGACACGACCTGGAGCGCTGCTTGAAGAATTTGGCGTTGCGTGGCACCAGGTTAGCAAGGAAGCGCTTGGCCTTCTTGGTGAGGCTCTCCCGGCGCGTGGGTGGCGCGGGACCCTCCGGGCCGCCCCATTCTGGCCGCTGGCCCCCAGCATGGCTCCGGCCCCGCCTCAGCCTGATCTGGCGCACTGTGCCCTCGAACAGCTCCTGCGTGTTGTGGTGCAGTGCAGCCGACGTCTCGATGTGCTTGCAGCTCAATGTCCCTGCCAGGTGGCGGCCCTCTGCAGGAAGGGAGGGTTCAGGCTCCCGCAGGGCTGCACTGAGCCCGGAGCGAGGGTGCCTTCGGTGAGGTTGGTATGCAGTGGAAAAGGATTGGGGCAAGTAAGGGAACAAGGCAGGGATCGTGTGGAGGGAGGGTTGGGAGAAAGGGGCCTTGGAGAAGACGTGAGGGGGAATGAAGAGAAGGGATTCTCAGGGCCTTAGGAACAGGCGTTGAGAGTCTGCCCTTAGCCAGGGGCTAAATACAATTAAGTTTGTACACCTGAGGGTAAAAAGGCCTTATGGAAAAGAGGTGACATAGGAAGGACAGGCTCTCATGAGACTGCAAGTGTGGATGAGGTTCAGGATACCTACCCTCCAGTGAGACCTCCCGGGAGCGAGCTAGGTCACTCTTGTTTCCAACGAGGATGACAGGCAGGTCATGGTGGGGCCTCCCAGCCCGGAGCCGAAGTAGGGTTTCTGGAACTTTGGAGAAGCTTCGTCTGTCCGTGACTGAGAAGACGATGAGAAAGGCATCCCCGGTCTGAAGGCAGTGGTCCCGCAGCCACCCTCCTGTGTCCCCCTGCAGATGGGAGAGAGAGTCATGGAATGTCAGGGCTGGAGGCATGGGAGAACCTGTCCAGCATCTGCATCTCAAGGATGAGGAATCAGAATGTGAGGGAGAAGCCACTGCTTAGAACAGCAGAGCTAGTTAATGACAGAATCTCCATTCCCAGGGTGTGTTTGTGGAGCAGGGACGGGTTAGTAACATGAGCCCCACAGGAAGAATTGGAGACATAGGATCCTAGACTAGGGTAGCCCATTCTACTTTCTGATGCTTAAACTTTTAATTAAGAAATGAATGTTATTCAAATATATGTAATCTGGTTTCTCATTTCTACATAGTAACTACTTAATGCCAAATGTTCACAAATCCTCAGGTTTTTTTCCCCTTTCCCTAATATTCCAGAGCCCTAAGCTCTTGTCCTGTACAGACTCTTCCAGGCTGAAAAATGTATGGATAGGGTCAATTTCAGGAGGTTAGCTTGACTTGCAGCTGCAGGGTTTGTCAAATTCAGATCCTAACTTTCCTCTGGGTCAGAAGATCCTGGAAAGACAGCAGCTCTCAATGCAATGATATCACACTGGTGTGGGCCTTTACTCCCTGAGATGATACTACATGTTGAAACCAGTGCCTGCAATCTCACCAGCCATCAGCCAGACTTTGCCCCTCCCAGTCCTCCCAGGGTTCATCATGTGCTTGCAGTCACATCTCAGTTCTCACCTGTTCCCAGATGTCATAAACAACTAGAGTCACTTCCTCTTTATCCACAATGATGCGTCTCTCATAGGTGTCCTCTGTTGGGAAAGAAGGACAAGGAATAGAGCCCATTAGGAGGCTCCCAACACTTGTGAGGCTTGGTAACTAGGGATGCCTCTGATCCAGGTACCAGGGACCCCCTCCAGAGAGATTGCCAAAGAAAGCACTGGAGAAACATCTCTTTTGTTCTGGCCTCCAGGGGCTGCTCATGCCTTGAGCGCTTCCATCCCTGATTACAGACACCCTCAACCCCTGCAGGGATCCCCAAATACCTGGGTTCTCTGGCTCATGAGCACTGTCTCCCTGGAGACCACCGAAAGTGCCTGCTAGGGTGCTCTTGCCCACTCCGCTCTCCCCTACCAGCATGACCTTGAAGATGCCGTCCTTTTGGGTGGAGGCTGCCTCCCCTGAGCCCAAGGAGTCAGAGGAGCCAGAGGATAAGGCTTGAGGTGGCCAGTCAAGTTCATCCACAGCCTGGGCCCTCCGCAGCTGGTGCTTGTAGGGGACAGGCATACTGCCTCTTCGTCTGGGGGCCCCTGGGGCAGGGGGTGGCCCACCCCGGTCCAACCCTGCCAACAGTTTCTCTGGCTTCTTCAGCAGTGTGGTGTCCGCTTCTGGGAGGCAAAGAGAAGGAAGCTATGAGCGGGGTGTGCCTAGCCATCTGCAGAGAGCTCAATCAATCCTTGCAGCTCCACCTTCAGAGGCCTAGTCAATGACCATGACCCAGAAGGAGCTGAGAATCTTTGGTCCGTCCTCTTACACTGAAACCTAAATTGGTTGGGCTCCAAGGAGGTGACCTGATGGCTTGCCCAAAGTGGTTCCAGCCATAACCTGTTCAAAACATGCCCCATGCAGGGGAGGCACCTGTGCGCAGCCTCACACACCCACTCACACTTCACAGTGACACACAGGCACACCCCCAAACTAGGCCTCTGGCCCAGGGGCTGCTGCTCATTCTACCAAGAGGCCTTGTCCCTACTGCTTCCTATACTGGCAGCCTCCTAGCTCGTTGGAAGCTGAAGCTGAAGCTGCTGCCCAGGTTCTGGGAGACAGGCAGGTAGTACTAGTCAAAAACTTTGTGGGGAGCCTCTTCCCAGGGAAGGGCCTTTGCTCTTTGAGATGTGTATGTTGGGTTTCCATGGGTGTGTACATGAGAGGGGCTGACTCTTCCTGTGGCCCTGTAGGTGAGCATCCCCCAGTGCATGGCATGTGTGAGAATCCTTCTTTATCCCAGTGAGTCTGAGGGAATACTGTGTTCACGGTAAGGTAGAGGGAGGGAAGGATAGAGGGAGAGGGAGAGAGAGAGAGAGAGAGAGAGAGAGAGAGAGAGAGATGAGAGAGAGAGAGAGAGAGAATCCGGAGCCTGAGAGGGGGAGAGTGACAATGCATGGGGCAGGGTAACTGGAGGAGGAAGGACAGACACAACAAAAGGGGATAGAGAGAGGCTGGAAATAGCCCAGGATCAATACATGGCCGGCAGCCAGGGCCTCCAGGAGCCAGAAGGAATCCTTACAACAGGTCCCCAGGGCAGCCCCCCCTCGCCTCCCCCTCCCATGATTCCCAAGCTTGTGGGCTGCCCCTTCCCTTTCCCCCTTCCCTCCTGCCTATCCCAGCCTCTAGCGAGTGAGGCTGACCTAGGGGACCAAGCACCAGTTTCCCCAGCGAAGCCCTGGGAGTAATGGGGGAGGGGGCGTTTAGGCAGCTAAACGCCCCCTCCCCCGCCCCAGTCCAGCCCCAGTTTTAGTACGAGCGGAAGGCTTCCCCACTTCCCGACTTGCACTTCCCCTCTTGCGGTTTGGGTTCGAGCTCCTTTAACCCCTAGTTCTGACCTCCCCACCAAAGCTTCGGCTCCCACCCCAATGGTTTTAGCCGAAACCTGCACAGCTCAGCCTCACCTGGTGTGGGCGTCCCTGGGGGGGAGGCCTGGTGGCTGCCGATGGGGCAGAGTGCTGTGGTTTCCGTGTCCATGTCCATGTCGTTGTCCAGGTCCGTATGCATCGGTGTGCGTGTGGGTGTGCAGCCCGCGACTCGCAGCACCCGCGCCCTCACTCAGCAGCACTGTCAGCTTTTCCCTTTAAATACCACCCCCCCACAACCCCCCCCCAGACACCTGGGGAAATTGTCCCGCCCCCTGATGAGGTCACACATGCTAATGAGCAGTGATGTCAGCGGGATTCCCTCTTTTCTGCCCCCGACCCACATCGCTTCCCTCTGGGAGCACACACACTGCGGAGTCTGGTGAAGACATGAATAGAACAAAGTCTGAGGGCAGAAGAGACAAGGGTTTAAAGAAGTAGGGCAAGGGGTCGGTGGGACAGGGAGCTGAGGATGGCAGGAGGCAGGGACCAAGGGACCAGGAGGTCTTTCTCCAGGAGCCAGGATAATACCAGTCCCCTAGCCTGGTGTCCAGCCCAGAGTAGGTTCTCTGGCTAAATGGAGGGGCTAGAGGCAGAAACCAAAAGAAATGCAGGGACAGGGGGACAGCCTCCCTGCTGCCAAGCTTCCCTGTCACTCTCTCCTTCCTCACAATCACCCCTCCTTTCTGGGCTAAGACCCACAAAAGCACTCATTTCCTAGCCTGGCCCCTAGACAGATGGTTGCTTTGTTTGGGCAGCTTCATTTTGTTACTAGGTTCAGGTGGGTGTGAACTGTGGGGACTTCTGTCTCCCCCTCCCTACCAGGCCCACCATCCTAGTGTTAATCAGAGCAGGAAAAAAGGGCGAGACTAGCCTTCTAGAAGCTGCCAACCCCAAGTGGGAGTGGGGAGTGCCAGCCTACCCTACCAACTGTGGCACTCAGTGGGGCACCACCAGGCCTTCTGGGCTACACAAGGCAGACACACAATGTCCACTTCTTTGTGCAAAGCCAGGATGGCATATTTCCTTTACTGTCTTTCTGCCCAGTCCCCTTTCCTTTCAGGCTTCCATCTATCCTTCCTGACACCCAGAAGCACCCACATTCCAATTTCCTGCCCCTTCCTGCCCCTACTTTTGCCAGGTGCTAGGCTAACTGCCTTCCGACATTATCTTTCCTCCTCATGACTCTAAGGGTCATAGTAGTAGGTGGGTGGCCTGTCCCCAAATCAGTCATGCAGTTGGAAAGTGGGGACACCAGGATTCCCACCCAGTTCTTTCCAATGCCAGAGATTTTTCATTTCTAGCCGTGTGCTGCCTTCCTTAATATTCCAATTGTCTCCTATTATTGGGAACAGTCCATAATTGCAATCTTCAGTGGACTTTTCCAATTGAGGTGGCAAATGGTAATCTTGGGGCTAACGTGCAGTGACAGTTCCCTTATCTGGAGGTCAACTACAGGGCAACACTGTGGTGCCCAGAGGGAGCAGAAAGGACTCCTGGACAGCTGCAGAGCTCACGCATTTTACTCATTGGATGGACTCCCCAGTCCTCAATCACGGCCTACTTATCCTTACTTTATTCCCAATTTTGATGTGTCCATGTGCGTTTTGTACTCATAGAGCAGAAGCACGTTTAGAGCAGCAAGTGACCCCTGATATTGTAATGAAAATCAATATAGCCTGGTAGTGAGGGAAGCAAAACTACAAAAAACTTTCAAAGCAGTCATAAGCATTTAAATAGTGGTCTAAAGTCGTTTGGCATCAACAGCCCCCTGGTACTGTTACAGCTTCTGAAAACATTGCTGCAGAGGAGCCATTGGTTTCTGGATTCCTCAGCGACTCCCCCAAATTTATATTATATTGCAGATGTGCTGAAGATGAATATAATGTTCTAGAATGATTTCCTTCCAAAATGAGTTTTTAGAAAAGTTTTACATTGTAGAGGGGTATCTGGAAAACTCACTTCGGTGGCTGGATTCATTTCTATTATATCAGATAAGAGTGAGTCAGGGGCTGCAGAACCCAGCAAGAACGCTTGACTGTGACTTCTGCCGGCCCTCAAGCCAGCTTTAGGCCACAGGAGCATGTTGGGTCTCACCTTGAACCACCAACTCTCTCATCGCACTAGTAAGAGGCTGTATACTTGCCCATATCCAAAATCCCTCAGGAATGGGAGGTCCTGTGGGATGGTGGGACAGGGTGAGATTTGAAAGTGCACCAATCCAGGTTTAAATCTGCGTTGTAGAAACTGGGCTAGTCTTGTAATTCCTCTGATGCTACTCCTGAACCTGTGAATTGGGGTTATGATGCCCATGGCATAGCCCTGTCATGAGGGTTAGCCACATAGAATAAAGAATCTGGCATTCAGCAGGGTGCCCAACAATTTGGTGCTCCCAATTTGATCTCTGGCTGTGTGACTGGGGGTCCCTCTCCCCTCCCTGTGGGGCCTGGAGCTAGGTTCAGGCCCAGATTCTGCTCCTTAAAGACTGAATTCTGCTGTTACCTGATTCCCAGCCTGATCCTCCTCTCAAGCTGAGAACACCTCCCTCCTCCCACCTTTGATACTGGGCACCTTGGATAGTGCTGTCTATCATGATAGGATTTGAAGTTGCCTTCTTTTTCCTTGGGCCACAGATAAACAAAACTTGGGTGAGTGCTCCCCAATGCCCTACCCTCTCCCCGTAGGACCCTCTGACTTAGTTTCCCCATACTGCCTGTACAAGGTCAATCTCCTCTCCCTGCCAACTGGGGGCTTCACTGTGGCTCCAAAAGTAGTTACTGCTTGTACCTCCTAGAGCACACACCCAGCACCTAGAGAAGCATTTTTCAGGCCCATGAATATATGCACAGGCCTTCCTAGTGAACTCTACCCTCAAGTCCTTCCTCCAGTGTTCTGAGGCATTCCACCATGAGCAGCGTTCTTTTACCTTAAATTTTTGTCTCCTTTCAAGTTTCAAATACCCCTAGGAGGTAAAAGGTCTGGAGCAGGACAAAGGATGAGTATGTTAGGCTAAAGGTTTTTGAGGTGGTTATGGAGGAAGACAGGAACAGGGAGAGGACGAAGACCAGGCGATGGAGGTGTGGGAGGGGAAATCAAAATTCCTTGCTTCAGTTTTCACTGGGCCTAACAATGGTGGGACCCAGGGATTATGTGCACTTGGGAAGGAAGGCCCAAAAGGACAGTAAGCAAGACAGAATCTCTGGAGCCTCTCCCCCAGTCTCTGGAGAAGGTCTGGAGTGAAAGGAGCTTGGGTCGTCCCAGAGCGGAAGATGCCAGGGTCTTAAGACTACACCCTATCTCCTTTCTGCCACTTCCCTAGACTCTTGCTCACTGGGAAAGAGGAAGCATTATGCAATTAGTGTTGGGTGTGAAGATGTTGACAGGGTGTAACCAATAGGGCCCCTCCATCAGAGGGGTGGGGATAGGCCAGGCAGGAAGGGTAAGGGGGAGCCCATTTCTGTGATGGGTAGGGGGCTGGTTCTGCCAGGGATGCCTCAGCTCTGCTCCTTGCCCCATAGGCTCCTTCTATATCCTTTGTCCTGATTTTCATTTCAAACTCTCGGACAGCTCTGTCACCATGCTTACCAGAGGCTACGTCCCAACATTTATCAGACAATTTCCTCCTCCATCACCTTCTCCAGCTATTCAGCTCTGGTCTCTGCTTGTGCTCCTGCCCCTTTTCTGAGGTCCAGGATCCAGCCTAGAGCCCTTGCCCTTACATCTGCTTAGTTTGCTTATACTCTCGACTCCCACCTTGCCTAGAACTGAAAACTGTATTCCAATTAGTGACAACATTCTTTAGAACCCATTTTGGGCCCTCTTCTAGGAAGACCTCTTAGATTTGGGCAAGGTGATGCCAGCACCTTCACATCCCAAATGTTTGTGACTTTTCTCTCGATTCATCTTTGCCTGCTTTGAGGTACCCTGGCTAAAAGTTCATCTGTCTTGCCTAGGACAGACTGTAAGTGCCTGGCAGGGGTCGAGAGTGGAGGGCACGAGTCATTGCTCCCATGTTCCACCAGGGCCAATCTGCTCCTGAGATCTCTGCTCTGGGAATACTCCATAAATGGGAACCTTCCTGGCTACAGGGCCCAGCTGGCTCACCAGACTTCCAGCCTGGCAGTGAATAAAGAGGCTTGGTGCTCACCCTGGTGTCAGTCACTGTAGATCTGGGCCCCAGGTGGTGAGTGGAGGTGGAGAGGGTTGGTTCTTAGGGTCCCTAGAATTGTCTTACCCACTAAGTGGTATAAAAATCAAGGACATGAGGTTAGAAGATAAACAGAAAGAAGGAAGGAGGTGGAAGGCAGAGCAAAGGCCTAAGTAGGAAGGAGCAAGGTGAGGTGAGCATAAGCTGAGATGGGATTCAAGCTCACAGCTTGTTTACAAAAGTCTTAAATTTCTGATTCCTTTATTTTCAACCTTGACTCCTTGGGCAGTGACCTAACTATGGAACAGAAGCATTTGTTGTGCTGTTTTTATGAGCCAGGCCCTATAGGAAGGATCACAATTGGCATAACCTTAGGCCCTGCCCAAATCCTCCCCTTGGGGGCTGGAGGTCTCTAGCCAATTGGCATTCCGGTGCTTAAGGCTACTTTTGGGTAGGGGGTTGGCAAGGATGGAGTGTTCAGGCCTATGACCCCTTAAGAACTTTACTTTTTAAAAAGAGCCACCCGAATGGTGGCGGTATGGGGAGAAGGTGGTGGAGGCACTGTATCTGGCCATGTGCAGAGTGCGCTCTGTGTGAGCCCTCTCCCTGCCTGAGGGACACCTAAGCTTACAGCATCTACACAGGGCCAAAGGGAGGTTCACCAACTCCCCTCAGACCAAGGGCCACAGAAGGAAGTAGTGGAAGAGAAGCTGAGCTGCTCTCTAAAGGGCGTCATCACTGGGACTAGAGCCTCTGGGGAGCCAGGTCACTTCAGGCAAGCAGTGGCTCATCCTCTGCTTCAACTACGCAGGCCCCAGGCTCAGCCAGTGGTACCAGAAGCACATCGTCCTCATCCTCTGGGGACAGAGCTGTTGTGTGGGGTTCAGGTGAGGTCCGGGTTGGTCCTGCTGGCCGAAGGCTGGGCAGGAGGCGGCCTCGCAAGGCCTGTACCACTCCAGACAGCAGTGATGGCTCTACGAGCGCCGAGGGCAGTGGCCCTGGGGCCTCGAGGACAGTAGGAAGGGCTGGAGATGTGCTGGCAGATGGGAGGGGAGCCTTGACAGGCAGTGGGGGTGCCTGTTCCCCACCCTGCCCGCCTACAGCCCCAACCTCACGGGCCGGACCTGTGTTGCCATCGAGGGCTTCAGGGGGAGCATCAGGAGGTGTGACCTGGGATCTGGTCTCAGGGGTTCGGGCTGGGGGGTTGGCTCGAGGAAGCAGGCCCCAGCGGCGAAGACGGCGCACCAGGCGGCGCACAGTGCGGCCCCGCGGACGGCGGCGGGCACCTGAGGCACCCCCTGGAGTCATATCCTGGCGCAAGATCTGTAGCAGAGAACGCAGGTTGCCCAGCACTGAGTTCTGCAAGGAGAGGAGACAGACATCAGCGTTAGAGAGGTGGGGAGGGCCAGAAGCCTGAAAGGAGGAGGGGACAGTGGCAGGGCCACTGCGGGGTTGAAAGCAGGATGAGCTAGGGTTGGGGGAGTGAGTGACTTACATCATTAGGGTTCTCTGTAGGGAAGTCCTCTACAGGTGGGATGGCACCTTGGGCAATGAGCTGCCCATAGGACGGAGGTGCCTGCTGCTGCACAATCTCGGCCTCCATCCGGGAGAGGGGAGCAAAGATGCTGGAAGGAATGAGGGCTGCTGAGTCACAGGTGGTTCTGGCCAGAGCACCCTGTCCCAGCCCCGACAGGCCTCTTCTCTCCACACCCAGGCCACGACAACTGGAGCTTTGCCATGGCTTTCCCAAAAGTCATCTGAGGTCCCCTCCTTGAGATCGCTTTCAGGATCTAGACCTGTCCTTCCCACAGAGGAGTCCCCCTTTCCCCTAGCTAGACAACCCCAAGAGCCAATAGGTCCTGGGTACCCAACATGGGTACCTTCATGGTCTCCTGCGGCTGCATGGGCCTTGTCTCACCCTCAGTCCCCACTCCTCTACAGCCCGCTGCATTCCCACTGACCTGTACTCCTGGGTGCGAATGGCATAGAGTTTGCAGGTGCAGCCCAGAGCAATAACGAGCAGCAAGCCGCACACGAGGCTCCCAATGACTGCGGCTGTAATGACCTTGCGGGGCAGAGCATAGGAGCAGTCCCACTCATCACTGCCGTCAGCACAGTCTGGCTGCCCATCGCACACCCATGTTTCATACACGCACTTCTCATCCCGGCATCGGAAGTTGCCAGGCTGGCAGTGCCGGCAATGTCTCTCATCTGCTCCATCAGTACAGAAGGGCTGGTAGTTGCAGCGGTCAGCATGCAGGTAACAGGCTGTGGCACCAGGGGAGCCGGCAGCTCCACAGGGGTAGTGTCCAGGTGGGCAGCTAGGACAGTTTTCCTCGTCTGTGCCATCGGCACAGTCCCATGAGCC